ATATATATAATATATTTACATAATTACAACTTTTATAGCGGAAATGTGCTTCAATCTCCAACTGCTAATGAGTGTTAAACTCTGGGCAGAAAATATGCTTTTTTCCTGCTCCAGATTTCTGGACCGCTGCAAATTAGGATTAATGTATGAAATGGAACTACTGGTGCTTTTAATGTGCTGGTCGGCCAATCAAAATGTCTGTCATAAATGGTATTGACAAATAAGGAGACGAGAGGAGATCAGCTTGGCAACTCTTAACAGGAATTGCATGTAAACATCCCCTTTAGAGGAGAACTATGGGGGTCAGCGTTTTTCGCCAAAGTTCTCCTCAGGGTCACGGGAGGACATAAACTAGCGTCCTCCCGTGACCCAAAGCTCCGTATTGCTCGCGGTATACTGAGGCAGCCGGGACGGATCCCGACATTACTGTCGAGATCCACCCAGCTGGGTGATTGACAGCTGGCTCTGCCTGTCTAGAGGCAGAGCCAGCTGTACCCTCCCCCGTTCGTTCCTCCGCTCAGCGCTGGAGGATCGGAGAGGGTAATCCCTGCAGGGAGCCGTGAGTGACGGTCACCGCTCTCTGCAGACACAGGATCGAGAAGCGAGCGACAGTATGTGTTCGCTCACTTCCCGATCAATAGAGCCGACATGTGACAGTTTCATTGTCACACGTCGACTCTAACTATGAGGCTGAGTGAAAATCACTCGCCTCATAGTTCTCCTTTGTAAATGTTGTCTAACTTTGGAGGCACTGGCTTTTTTGTTTTTTTTTCCATGTCGTTTTCACTGAAGCTAAGCTCTGGTTGCTGATATGTTTGGGTTAGAGACAGGTTTTCTGTGAATTAGTAGCCAATACTTTGTCTGGTTCCTAACCTTTTCCTTTCCCTGCACAGGTCCGACATCTGTTCACCCTGGGAGATGCTGCCCAGCTGTGCCCGGCTCGTGTGGAGAAAAGGGTTTTGCTGCTGGTTCAGTCCTTACTGGCCTCTCTGCCGGCACAGGGTATTATTTCTTGCATTATGCTTAATATAGCCCTAAGAAAAGGTTTTGGCCCGGTCATTCAAAAATCATGTTCACATTTTATCTAGGTTCCGTAAGCTCGGAGAATGAAGACGTGCCGCAGTCGCAGAGTCAGTCTCAGTCCCAGCCGTCCTCTCAGCCTCTTTCCCAGTTTAGAGGCTCTAGAATGCCATCAGTGGTCCGTGCTCATGCATTTATCACGCTTGGTAAGAAAGAAACCATGGATTTCTAAAGAATGTGTTACTGGGGAACAGTAGGCCAAGACCTTTAGACCTTTTCTGAGATGACTGACAATTGTATAGGAAGCTGGCCTTTGTAGCCAAGTAACTTTTTATCTTCAGGTAGTATTAAAGGAGAACTATGAGGCGAGTGCTTTTCACTCACCTCATAGTTCTAGCCGACCTGTGACAATGAGACTGTCAAAGGTCGGCTCAGTAGATCGGGAGGTGAGCGAACACATACCGGTGTTCGCTCACCTCTCGATCCTGTCATGGCTCTCTGCTGTGACAGGGGCGGGGCTGGATACCCCCCTCCCCGCTCCGATACTCGTGCGCTGACTGGCGGAACGGACGGGGAAGGAGGCGGGTAAAGCTGGCTCTGCCTCTAGATAGGCAGAGCCAGCTGTCACTCACGCAGCTGGGCGGATCTCGACATCGATGTCGGGATCCGCTGCGGCGTCTCAGTATACCGCGAGCTGTAGCTGAGCTTAGGGTGACGGGAGGACGCTAGTTTGTGTCTTCCCGTTGTGGCACAGGGGATCAGAGGGAGCTCGGTACACGATCCCCCTCCGCTATCAGAATGCGGAAGTGATGTATAATACATCACTTCCGCATTCTTGTGTCACTCTCCAGCTTCAGAAGCTGATGGAGCAGATTTGTGCTTCATCAGCTTCTTTGGAGGTCCGTAGGTGATATGGTTTATAATTAAACATGGCTTCCCATTTCCTTGTAGTGTGTGGATTTATTTATATCAAAGCTGGATTGTTGGTAATGCATGCATATGATACATGTATCTCTGTATTGTCAGACACTAGGACTTTATTGTGAAAATTCTATGCCTGCCTCCTGCAGCCCTGGTATGTGCACCTTCACTTAGAATAAACGTATACAAATGAAATAGCTGTAAATAGCTGGACTTTCAGCACAGCATTTCTACGGAGGTCCTAAAACATAACCTGTGCTTCTGGACCCAATATCCCCTTCTTAAAAGGAGAACTGAGGTGAGTGCTTTTCACTCCCCTCATAGTTCTAGCCGACATGTGACAATGAGACTGTCACAGGTCGGCTCAGTAGATCGGGAGGTGAGCGAACACATACCGGCATTCGCTCACCTCTCGATCCCGTCACGGCTCTCTGCCGTGACAGGGGAGGGGCTGGATTTCCCCCGCCAGCGCTGACTGGTGGATCAGATGGGGGCGGGTACAGCTGGCTCTGCCTCTACATAGGCGGATCCAGACATAATTGTCGGGATCCGCTTTAGCTGCGGCGTCTCAGTATACCGCGAGCAGTAGCTGAGCCTAGGGTGACAGGAGGACGCTGGTTTGTGTCCTCCCGTTACCCTAAGGAGAACTATGTGGAAAAGCCCTGACCCCATAGTTCTCCTTAAGTCACCCATAGATAGAAGACTTTGAGCTGGGTTTTTTTTTTTTCTGTCTCATTGGCAATTATCTCCTTTCTATGGGCATTTGCTGACATCGCCAGATGGCTGCTTTGCTGTAATTGTCATCTTGCCTGCCAGTTTAGTTGGTGCATCATGGAATTTGTTTTCGAGTGGCATATTGTAATGGTTTCTACAGACCGCTGGATGTTGGGTCTTGGTGGGCTATTGTTTTATAATGATATTGCTATTTCTTGCTTCGATCCCTTTTTTGTGTGTATTAAATTTTAGAATTATTTGTCTTCCAGGTAAGCTTTGTCTCCAACACGAGGACCTGGCTAAGAAATGCGTCCCGGCTCTCGCCCGAGAACTGGAGGTCAGCGATGACATGGCCATCCGCAATAATGTCATCATTGTTATATGTGACCTGTGTGTCCGATACACCACTATGGTGGATAGATACATCCCAAATGTATCCGTGTGTCTCAAAGACCAAGAGCCATTCATTCGGAAGCAGACGCTCATCATGCTGACCAACCTGCTGCAGGTGAATAATCCTTTGGGTTAAAATGGAACTCCAGCCAAAACTTTATGGATCTGTGGAAACTTTAAGTAGACTCTCTTAAGAATTATGATGGTAAAATAAAATATAACTGTTAGAATGTTAAATGATTCCCCCTTTTGTCTTTTTTCTCAACCTGTCGATCTCTTACAATCCACAGGAGGAGTTTATAAAGTGGAAGGGTTCCCTTTTCTTCCGCTTCATCAGCGTCTTGGTGGATGCGGACCCAGATATTGCCAAGTAAGTCTCTCTACGTTACAGGTTGTAAGCTGATGCTCAACAGTGGATCTTATTTTTATTTTAATGAAGCTGGAGCTCCGGCCAATCACCTGTCCTGAACGCTGTCATGTGAGGAGGAAGAAAGAAACTTCAACGCAGGGCTTGAGCTAGGTTGACACCAGATGCATTGCGTTCCGGCCTGATTTTTGCCAGAACGCACTGCCTCGCATTGCGACCGGCTCACTTTTTTTGTGGGGCGTGGCGGGCCGTTGAAGTGAATGGCACCGTAGCCACGCCCTCAGGCCGCAATGTGATCGGCCGCACAGGTTCGCAGGGCACATTGTGCCTGCGGTCCGGTGAAATAAAAATGCTGCAAGCACTATTTTGATCGTGCCGGCCTGAACCGCAGGCACAATGTGCCTTGCGATCCCGTGCGGCCGATCGCATTGCGGCCTGAGGGCTCCTGCCCCATAAAGTGAGCCGGCTGCAATGCAGTGCATTCGGGCCGGAACGCACTGCATCTGGTGTTAACCTAGCCTTCGGGTTCAATGGTCTGACAGAGCGGCAGGGGAATGCATGGGATTAGATTATCAATTGGTGGAGATTTCCCTTTTTTTAAAAGGAAACCTGTCGCTTTGTCCTGAACTGGCAAGGTGTCACTAAGGTTTAGGTTCAAGTTAAGGGAACCATTGTCCACCTTTCTCTGAATGTTCAAAAACCACTGGCATTAGCCTTGCCTATTGGTGGATACATAAAACAGAACAATAAGCTACTTTGTGTATGAGCAAGAGGTAAGTTTGTTTTTAGCTTAGTGTCCTAGTAGGCAGGATGTATTCACACGACTTTAAGGACTGATCATGTGGTTTTTATTTAATGGAGCCTTACTCCGCTTCTCCTTATCATTGCAGATTCGGAGAGTTCTGTCTGGTCCATCTTCTCCTGAAACGAAACCCTGTCATGTTCTCGCAGCATTTCATCGAGTGTATTTTCCATTTTAATTGCTATGGAAAACATGAGACGTACAACAAATTTCCGCAGACTGAGAGGTGAGTGAACCTCGTCCCTCCATCACCCCCCATCCCGAAACGTCTTTCTTTCTTGGTTCTTCTAAATCCCGTTGTGTTGTCATAGGGAACAGAAACTCTTCTCGCTAAAAGGAAATGAGAACAAAGAGAAACGAATGAAGATCTACAAGTTTTTGCTTGAGCACTTTACTGATGAGCAAAGGTTTAATCTGACCACAAAGATCAGCCAGAATGTTTTAGGTGAGTTATGCCCAGAACTGGACAACCTGCACTCTCTAGGAGTCACCCGTGAATAAAACCGTGTTATGACCTTCCGCTCTCTGCTCTGAATAGGACCCCCAGAAGGGTTTGTTACTTGTTATTTCTCAGTGTGTTGGAAGCAGTGGCTTGTCTGCACCTTGTCATCTATTGCCCTAGGTGTGTCAATGTCATTTTTATTTTTGTAGCTTGTTTTGTGGATGGCATGTTACCGATTGACACAGGAGCTAACGATTTACTCTCGGACATCTTTGAGATCATGAGCTGCAAAGAGATAAAGTTGTCGGCGATGCGGTCCAAACCTGGAGAAGATGTTGGAGGAGATGACGACGAGATGGCCATGGCGAATGCTGTGATGCAGGTCGCACAGAAAAAGCTAATCTCGCAGGTAAGCAGGTTTAGTGGTTAAAAAAAAAAAATATATATGCGTGAATAAAAGGAATAATACGTAGCTGATACAAATAGTACATGAGGGCGTTCTACCCTTTTTTTTTTTTCCCCCCTTAATATATTTCATCATTCAGCAAGACTCTACGTCACTGCTAGAGCATGGTCTCTTCAGTTGCAGCATTCGGGCAGTCGTCCCATATGATCAGGATTCTTCTGCCCTTTCTGCTATCCTACTTCATGGTACCTGGCTTTAATGGCATGGCTGGGGAGGCTCAGGTTCTGAAGGTCGGGCATTTGAGTCTTGTGATGCCTACAATGCTAAAAAAAAAAGTCTACTTCCCATGGTATATCATCGGACATGGAAGGTGTGCGTCCCCTCTTGTAAGTGTCAGGACTTCCAACCCAGGAGTGTCTCCATAGGGCTGCAGTTTGGTATTTACCAGGAACCAGCATTTGGCTGTCAACACTGTAAAGGGCAACGTTTTTCTACCCCTTTTCTATGCTTTTCCAGAAAATGTTGACCTCTCTATCTTTTTAATGGGACCTTTTGTACAGGGTGTCTCCAATGCAGCTACCCCGTCTACTCTCCTGTGTTTTGGATCTTCATCTGATTCACTCTGCACTTCTTCAGAAACCATTGTTTGAACCCTTCAGAGATATTCCTCTTTCACAAGGTGGCATTTCTTGCTGCCATCGCCTCTGTGGCAAGTTACTGAACTGGCTGCCATTTTCTGCAATAAGCCAAAAGATCATGTCCAGGGCTTCACTTCTCGCCTTTCTTGGGTAGTTTCTGCCTTTCACCTCAACCAGCACATTGTTCTTTCGCCCCTCTCTCCAGGTTCAGTTCACCAAAAGGACATTTTCTTCCATTGTTTGGATGTGGTTCGGGTCGATCTCAGGTTCAGATCCTGGATGGACCCCAAAAGGATGCATTGACTTCTCGTTCAACCATCTCTAGGTGGCTTAGGTGGGCAATCGTCCAAACTTGTGGTCTCATTTATCTGGTTCCACCTTTTTCCTGTTGCACTCAAGATCCTTCAGGTGGCTCTTTGAGCTGCGGACAGTCCCCAGTTTTTTTCATTGGGCATGTTAGAAATTCTTTACTGTGTTGCCCATCTTCCAGTTGGAATGGTTTTGGACGTCCTGAAGCTCAAGACACCCCTTTCCACAATGGATGAGAGTGGATTTTTGTACTTAAAGTGACATTGAACCCTCAGATTTTTTTAACATAAAACAATACTGTAATGTGCGCCTTACTGTAATCCATGGTAGTTTCCCTTCTCTTTGCTGCTCTTCCTTTTTAAATCCTCATGTCTTCTCATGCTTGGGGAGAACTTCCCTTTTGCAGCTGAGTGCCTCTTCCTGTAGTGCTGGCTCAGGTTGTGAACCTACACACAGACACCATGTATCCATTCCAGAGACAAGGCAGTCTGCTGCAAAACAGAAGTTCTGCCCAGCATGAGAAGAGATACAGATTTAAAAGGAAGAGCGGCAAAGAGAAGTGAAACTACCATGGATTACAGTAAGGCGCACATTACAGTATTGTTTGTTAAAAAATCTGAGGGTTTAATGTCACTTTAAGTATCGTGCACATGGGCACAAGAGGCCACATAGCAGAAACTGTGAGCGTATTCGCATGCCCAGGATACCCGGCTGCCGTGTGCAGCCTCCTATAGTAATGAATGGCTGTGTATGAATTTAAAGCCAGAAGCCCCTGCACACAGACTGTATGCATCCAGGATTGTACGCATATGCAGGTTTTGCGCCACGTTGCAGCATAAAGCTGTGTACAGACATTCATTACTATGGATGGATTACACACAGACACCATGCATCCATTCCAGAGACAAGGCAGTCTGCTGCAAAACAGAAGTTCTGCAGAGCATGAGAACAGATACAGATTTAAAAGGAAGAGCAGCAAAGAGAAGGGAAACAACCATGGATTACAGTAAGGCGCACATTACACTATTGTTTTATGTTAAAAAATCTGAGGGTTTAATGTCCATTAAGGGACACGTCTCCCAGCCCTCTGTTTATGATCATGCTCTCAGTATTGCTTGCTACATAACTGGGGCATGCTGGTAGTAGTGGTTGTTTGGCAGTGTTCATCATGGATACACATACAGATTTTGGAAACTACAGATATATATTCTATATTTATAATATAATTGTTATTTGTTTTTTTATGAATGATGTGAACTTGAAAAATTGCCACTTTCTATTTTACTCTTAACATGCCTGCTAGGCTTGATCCAATATTCCATATGTGGCTTTGGAGGATCACTGATATGATCGTATCTTGCAATTTTGGCCTCTCGTAGGTTCAGAAGAAGAACTTCATAGAGAACATCATTCCCATCATCTCTTCTCTGAAGGGGCTTCTGGAGCAGGAGCGCATTCCAGCCGTGAGGGACCTGATGAACTGCTTGCGGGTAAGCGGCTGTGCAGAAGACTGGCAGGCAAAGTTTGTGTAGAGGTGCAGTAGCATTTATGGCCATGTGTTGTGTCCCCTGTACAGGAAATGATGCAAGACTACCGGGACGAGATTAAGGATTTCTTTGCCGCTGACAAACAACTGGCTGCAGAGCTTGAATATGATATGAAGAGGTACGAGAATCGGTTGGACTGGGAGAAGGTTGAGCACGAGCTGTCCAATTCTATGGCGAATGGTGCAGTCATTGGCAGCCCAAAGGTGAGCGTGTGGATGGTGCGAGCGTGTGGATGGTGTTTTGAAAAACGTAAACTTGATCATCCCGGATTTACATAGAATTGTGCAATTGTTGATGTGTGAAAGCTGCATGCAGAGTCAAGGCAACCCTGTTGATGTGTATTTTTACAGAAATCCGTGACCACCCTATTGGTGGGATATAGAACCTTAAAATTGGAACAAGTTTACCTTGGGGCCACCCAGCTCCACCTCATGGGGCAAAAAGGGCATACGCTTTAACAGTGTAAAACAAGTATTGATGTTGCACAATGAGAGATGTAATTCACTTGGATATACTTTGTGCTTGTTTGCATGAATGTTTTGCTTTCCCCTATTTTATAATACACTGCAAGCAGCAGTACAGGTTCTCTTGAGCTAACCAGACACATTGTGTAAAGTGACAACAGTCCAGGCCCTGTTACGGTGAAGAAACTTGTTGAATCTGTAGGTTTCCATTATTAGATTATTATTATACAGGATGTATATAGCGCCAACAGTTTGCACAGCGCTTTACAATATAAGGAAGACATTACAATACAAGACAAGATGGTAAGGAGGGTCCTGCCCCTGAGGGCCTTCAATCTAAAAGAGGAGGGGGAGGTGATTCATGAGGACGTAGCTGTGTGGGGATGAATTGTTTGAATTATATAAGCTGTTTGACATAAAGCTAAAAAAAAAACCTCTGTGACCTTACCCTAAAAAAAAAACCTCTGTGACCTTACCCTAAAAAAAAAACCTCTGTGACCTTACCCTAAAAAAAAAACCTCTGTGACCTTACCCTAACCTCTATGTGCTCTTATTCAGCTTTAATGCTTGAAATCTCCTTTTTTGTGGCTTTGTTTTTAGGTCTCTGCTCCTGCTGGATCTCCCAGAACCCCAAATGTTCGCCGGTCTCCTCTCTCCACCATACAGGAGGCCGCAGGTTCACCCAATACGCCTATAGGAACACCCCGAATCGCCATTCTGGCTGGACAAGTGGCCCGTCCCAGGTAAAAACGTTAACCGATCCTCTGCGTTTAGTCGTGTCAAATCGAGGTTCGTCCGTGCTGAAATGTTTGTTGTCCTACAGGCAGATGTCTCTGAGCACTCAGGCGATCCTCAACTCTGCCAAAAAACTGGCAGAAGACTATGGAAGGCCAAGGAGCAAGAGTATTGGAGCGCGTGCTTCTTCACCTGCCTTCAGCAGTGCAAACAGCAAGCTGGGTATGTAACTGATCATAGTGTGTAATACTAAATAGTCAAGTTGTAGAAATATATCTCCATTTTTTTTACCTAGTCCAGGTTTATTTATTTTTTATTTTTAATCATGGTTAGTAAAGGTGACCCAAATATTTGTTGGTCCTGCCAGTTTCTGCTGGCTTCCTGTGATTGGGTGACTTCACTAATCACTGGCTCCTAATGCTGTGGTCAGCCTCCCATTGCACTTCTATTATTTTATTTTTTTCTGCTTTTTTGTCTTGTCCTTTTTAAAAAAAATACTTTTTCCTTTTTACAGTTTCTTTCCGTAGTTCAGACCAGCAATCCAGTGGGATCCTGGAGGGAAGAGCAATCAGTACGCCTGACAGTAAGTACTTAATGTGGATCAAGATTTAGCTAGCAGGTGCAGGGTTGCTTGGGGTAGGATACTGATGTCAGAGAAGCCATAAGCTTCTTCTGACATCAAAGAGAAGGGGTGTGGCCTACCACAGGGCGGGGTGTGTGTACGCACACACAGCCACTACGGGCACAGGTGCCTCCATTAGAACGATGGTGGCACCCGTACACGGGGTGGGGGGACGAGGGATTAAAAACTTTTAAAGAAAAACAACAGCCTCCAGCAAAGGTGGGTCTCCTTGAAGGAAATATTTTTTTTTTTTTTAAAAATGCTTTAATATCACTTTAATCTCGGTGAAATCTAATCCTAATATTTTAGAGACCATGCAATGTTTATTCCTTGATAATCTAGATACATTGGGGGGTTTATATGGCATTTAACATGTGTTTTTTTTAAATATATTTCTTATCAGAATGTAGTGTGAAAAATTTTATGTCTATACAACTTTTGGAGTACGGGCACTGACCACCCATTACAGCCCCATTCAGCTATACTGGGTTACAATCATACTTGAGGTTTCCAGATCTCTCTGATCATACATAGGGAATGATTTATCTTGTTACCATTGTATGCTCTACGCTTAGGGTGCCTTTGCATTCTCCCCATTTAAGTACATGGAGATGTTGTCTATGAAGATGGGGTGGAAAAAGGGTTTGTTTGGTTTTTTTTGTACATTCCATAAAATCTATTTTTTCTTTCCAGGAACTATTCATAATGTCACATTTGGAGCTGGTGTCAGTTATATCAGTGCGAACCAAAGCTTGTCCTCCAACAACTCCATGAATGCTTTCCGTGAGCAAGAGAGAGACATCCTGTGTATGATGTCACCAGACAAACCGTAAGTGATCTTATTTCCCCAGTAGGGTGCAATGCAGAATTCCGTGTTATGGAGCTCACTCATTTACTATTTCACTTTGGTGGGAGATAGAACTCTCAATCTTTATTTTGGTTGCTTTACTACAAACAGATTGGTTGTTTCCCTTTCCAGTTAAATCTCGGGAAGGTGTGTGTGTGTGTGTGTGTGTAAACCCCCCCCCCCACCCCCCTTAACATGATTCCAATTAAATGTGTGACAACTACAAATGCTAGAACAGTGGGGTGGGGTTAAAGGGCCAGTTCAGTGTTCGTCAGACTGTTGCAGACACTTGACTGCAATGTTCAGCGTGAGAGGGCGCGCCCGCTTACAAAAGTGGGGGAGACATCTGTTAGCTTTGTAAACACTTGGGCAACCTGAATCTATGATGCTTGGGTGTGGGAGGTGGTTTTCAGGGGCTATAAGATTGGATTTCACTCCCAGACCCCTCCTCGGTGTATTACTTCCACTTTACCTGTCACTGCACAGCTTATCCAGATCTCTATGCAATCCTAACGTCTTCTGGATGTCATTGCCTTGGTCCCTGTGGCCAAATGATTCCCAGGATTCCGTTCCAGCCTGCCCATCTCAAATCCCAGGTCCCTAAAATGTCTTAATTCAGACTTGGGAATGTAGTATGAAACCCAGCAGGGAGTCTTCTGGCCTCTGTGGATATCATGGATATGTACCTGCATTCTCCATTTTTCAGCAGGTCAGTGATTGCTTTGGGTCTCCTGCACTTCCTGTTTGTAGCCCTGACATTCAGGGCTACAAACATTTTGGGTACTCCCCACAGTGTTGGTGCTGTGCTAGCCTTACGGTGTTCCCAGGATATCCCCCATTCTAGAACACCTGCCGAGGGAACATTTGTCACACATATTTTTGTGACCTGCAGATTTTGCAGTGTTTTGGCTGGAACCTTGGAAATCGGTGCTGGGACAGACTCCTTGTTTAAAAGCATTTTTTAAAACTATGGATGAGACTACCTCTTGTCCATTACAATGAATGAGAAAATTGTGGAACGGTACCAACAAGTTTGTCCATGCTTTGGGTATCTATCAAACACTAAACAGCAGTCAATGGTTTCTTTTTACTTCAGTGTTGAGTATTCAGCTCCCTTTCCCTTCTCTCCACTATTGAGGTATGTCTTGGGGGAGGGGATAAAGTAATACCAGGTCTGGATACACAACCATTAATGTTACAGAACACATTTAATAACTCTAAACTTTTTTCAGGGCACCACGACCCAGACAGTGGAACATAGAGTCTCCAGTACAACGAAAATCGAAATCATAGTCCTTCAGGCTGAGACTCGCTTCGATCATAGAAGAGATAATGTATATGGTTTGAGATGTATTATTATTAAGCCTTGATATTCTCAGACCTGTATTCCAAGCACTGTTCCTCTGTGTGTGTATATAATGCTGCTCAATTTTTGTACAATTTTATTTTTGTTGCACTTCAGTATAAGCCTTCTCTGTCTGCCAACCTGCCTTTTTATATACATGTTTGCCCACATTCTTCTGTTTTCAGCCTGTGAGGCATAGTAAAAACACCAAATTTGTCTATGTACTGTCTGTGTCATTGACCGGTTATGAACCACAACTTGGCAAATGTTACCAAGGGGTCCCGGCCCTAGAAAGGCTGAGAACCACTGCCCTAAGGAGTACTATGGGGAAAGCCCTAACCCCATAGTTCTCTAAGTAATGGATGCTTTCCTCCAAATGGCTGGCAGTGTTAGTCTCGTCTAACAGGGTAACTGTTTTCAGCATGTACGCTTTCTATTTGGCTCCAGTTGTGAAATACCGAGGCCTGTGCTTAGAAATCAATGCATGGTAGCTTTTAAAGGATTTTTTTTACACATTGCTGGTATCAATTATGATAAAGGACAGTCCAGAATTAGGTAGGGGGGTTGGGGAAGTTCTGCTGGACTTAAGGTGCCCATACACCTTACGACCATCGCAAGACTTTTGTCTTGCGATGGTCGTATGCTTCTTGAAAGCCTGCCCCGCTGAGGGGTGGGCTTTCGATGACGGCAATGCAGAACGGGCAGTGTGTGCACAATCAACTATTTATTTTTTATAATATAAATCCAAGGGTAGCAACAATGTTTCCAGAAAACCTTAGATGTAGGAAGTATAGAAAAAGTAGGCCCCTTTTTCATAGTATCCAGGAGGTGATCTGTGTCCATGCAGTTTTTCCTCTTACGATGGAGGAAAAACTGAAATGACTGGACATTAAATTGGTTTATAGGGAGTAGGATGCAGAAAGACATGTGTCTACATGCCGGAGTCAGGGGCAACCAGATGTAAACAGACACCCATCCATTTGTATCCAGCTGCCCCTAGATTTGCATTGGGCATCTGATTGGCTCCACCTGAAAAAATACTGACAGGTGGACCTAATTGGACTTCCCACCTGAAAGGGGACTAAAGTTATTTATGCTGCTGAGCATTAAAAGGAGAACTATGAGGGGAGTGCTTTTCACTCCTCTCATAGTTATAACCGACCTGTGACAATGAGACTGTCACAGGTCAGCTCAGTAGATCGGGAGGTGAGCGAAAACATACCGGGTTCACTCACCTCTCGATCCTGTCACTGCTCTCTGCTGTGACAGGGGAGGGGCTGGATTCCCCCTGCTCCGATCTACTAGCGCTGACTGGAGGAATGGGGAGGGTACAGCTGGCTCTGCCTCTAGATAGGCAGAGCCAGCTGTCACTCACGCAGCTGGGCAGATCCCGTCAGCTACGTCGGGATCTGCTCCGGCGTCTCAGTATACCGCGATCTATAGCTCGCGGTATACTGAGCCTAGGGTGACGGGAGGACGCTAGTTTGTGACCTCCCGTTACCCTAAGGAGAACTATGGGGAAAAACACTGACCACATAGTTCTCCTTTTTAAAAACGGTTATTTAAGGAGATGGTGGAGAGCAGATGAGGAATTACCTGTTTTAGACCATTAAAGTAGACCTTCGCTCATAAAATAAGGCAGATCAGGATGCCAGCCCATGGGGTGAGCAGATTTTAAACAGCAAGTCTGTACATGGAAACATTTCATGAGGAGGAGTTATTTGGGTGGTTAAAAAAGGAGAACTATGGGGTTAGGGCTTTTCCACATAGTTCTCCTTAGGGTAACGGGAGGACACAAACCAGCGTCCTCCTGTCACCCTAGGCTCAGCTACTGCTCGCGGTATACTGAGACGCCGCAGCTAAAGCGGATCCCGACAATTATGTCTGGATCCGCCTATGTAGAGGCAGAGCCAGCTGTACCCGCCCCCATCTGATCCACCAGTCAGCGCTGGCGGGGGAAATCCAGCCCCTCCCCTGTCACGGCAGAGAGCCGTGACGGGATCGAGAGGTGAGCGAATGCCGGTATGTGTTCGCTCACCTCCCGATCTACTGAGCCGACCTGTGACAGTCTCATTGTCACATGTCGGCTAGAACTATGAGGGGAGTGAAAAGCACTCACCTCAGTTCTCCTTTTAAGAAGGGGATATTGGGTCCAGAAGCACAGGTTATGTTTTAGGACCTCCGTAGAAATGCTGTGCTGAAAGTCCAGCTATTTCATTTGTATACGTTTATTCTAAGTGAAGGTGCACATACCAGGGCTGCAGGAGGCAGGCATAGAATTTTCACAATAAAGTCCTAGTGTCTGACAATACAGAGATACATGTATCATATGCATGCATTACCAACAATCCAGCTTTGATATAAATAAATCCACACACTACAAGGAAATGGGAAGCCATGTTTAATTATAAACCATATCACCTACGGACCTCCAAAGAAGCTGATGAAGCACAAATCTGCTCCATCAGCTTCTGAAGCTGGAGAGTGACACAAGAATGCGGAAGTGATGTATTATACATCACTTCCGCATTCTGATAGCGGAGGGGGATCGTGTACCGAGCTCCCTCTGATCCCCTGTGACACAATGAACTTCCACTTACAGAAACCCTCCCGTCACCCTAAGCTCCCTTTAAAG